CCGGTGATGGATGGGAGGCCAGAGATGCGCCTGTCCGCTCGTCAAAACTTTGCTTCCTCAATACAACCAGGCTACGCTAACATTTCGTTCAATCAAACATATTTTCTTGAAATATAATTTACTATTAATTGCAATTGACCATTTATTTTAATTCATCTACGTACTTTATTTATGGTGCAGAATAGAAGATCAAACAATGAGAAATTCGTATACTATTTATTTTCGTAGACAGTTCACCAACAGATTCGAAGCGAAATTTGAATTCCTTTTATTTTTGTTTTGGTCAAAATTCACACGGTGTTCTGTAAAATTCTAGTTTGTTTTTAATGTTTCTCTTCGAAATAATACATTTTGTAGATCAATATTAATTCTTTCGATTTAAAAGTAGTAATGACTTTAACCAATGCGGTTGTATTAAATATTGTGAGCCATGCTTTCCAAATCTCTTTTGCTGGATCATTAAAATAACATGTTTGTTTATGAATATTTGGAACAAAAACCTAATTACTCTTACAAACCTATATAATCAGTGCTGATGATATTTATTATAACGAAATTAAAAATGACAATATATTTGGGTTACGGATAAACCACATAATTCAAAGCTAAACAAATGAGTGGACTTCGAGAAAACAGTGTGATTTGTTGCATACTAGCATTAACTGTAATTATACCAGTGCATATCTATGACGTGCAATGATGACACACCTAATAAAGGGGGAATTTATTGCAATAGAGTAGTTTAAAATATAACAGATTACGTTGCTTTAATAACAATTAATTTATGTGTTTTATTCATTTGGAACAGTCGTTGACCTATGTAGATGACTGCTTAAAATGGCCTCACAATTCTTTCTAACTTATATAGTTCCTTTTATGAAGGTATATTATTCGCTTGAAACTTACCATTAAATTAAAAATTCGTTAAACAAATTTTACTAATCATATACAAATATCAACAGTGTCCTCTTTATTCATACGCTTTCTGTTTTCGATACTTTAAAGACTAGTTCCTTTATCAAAACTTTTACCGGCTGCAGTTCAAAATTCAAACATATACCCAAACTGCCATCTTTCTACCCAAATTAACGCAAATTTTAATTATCTGACTAAAATCTAATATAAGAGATACAAAATGTCATACATTTCATAAAATTTTAACATTCGAAATGCGATTGTTGGTTTATGCAACATTTCTTAAGATAATAAACTTCACTGTATTAGAATTCTTTGTTTTATAGAAACTGAATAATTTTACGCGTATCTTTAACAATTTATGGAATGGGAGAATGCAATTTAATAAATTCCGTTATTTTTATCCTACCGCTATAAAACAAAAATTTATCTTCGCGTTGCCGCCTTGGAGTTCATTGAGCAAGCGAGGCATTTATTAACGAGATGAATAAAATTGAACAGGTGGAGGTGCTATAGATGGCGCCTTCTTATATAACACATTACGCGGGCTTACAGAACCTCTGGCGTGTTTCAATTTTAGAAGCTATCAGGGACCCGGATAGCGAGTTTCACTGCAATGAACTGCAACCGATATGAGGTTTGATCGACGAACAACTAAGAATATGTTCGTATTTGTCAGCTTAGCGTCGTAACTAATACTCATTTTTCACAGGGTAGAAGCCAGTATAAAAATCAATTGGATTGTTTTATTAGTTTGATAACACACATTTAAAATGAAATTAACGTAACCCAATTCTGTGTATTAATTTCAAATACTCAATTTAATTTAAAAATATTAAAACCTGTGTTATGTTGAATAGAATTGGCCTTATTTTACGTGGCGAGACTCAGGCCATGAAGCCTGCTCTTCCGTCTGACCAAGCAAATTTCGTTACGCTCCTTTCATCAACGAGCAGAGAAAGGAGGTATTTATTGGGCGAGAAACAGACGATTTGAATTTAGCTCAGAGGCGGCATTTAGGCTTGATCTTTTACATGCCAGTAAATCTACTAACATGGGACAGCCGGCTTTACTTCCCCTCCGAAGGAAGGCGTACGAAGGATTTTTTCGCCCTTAAAAATCCACGGCTTTAATCGGGTTTGAACCCGCGAACTTGGGTAAAACAGTCCGGTACGCTAAACATTACACCATCGCCGACGCCAATGTAATTGTCTTCATGTATTTTTCTCCATTATCGAATCTAAATTAGAGTGTTGTGGAACGCGATCCAAGATTTAGTCCCGGGGGGGGGCGGGGGCACTCACCTGCGCTCACGGTGAGGGCCTCGACGAACTGCTCCTTCCACGACGACGTGCCGATGAGGATGGAGGCGTTTGCGCGCTGCACCAGCTTGTCCACGGTGTTCTGCAACATGAGACGCCCACTGCACTCCCCGAAGCCACCGTCGTCATCATCGTCGTCGTCGTAATCGTTATCAACGTCATCGCCGTCGTCGTCATCATCATCGTCATAGTCATCATCGTCATAGTCATCATCATCATCATCGTCATCGTCATCGTAATGATCATGGTCATCGTCATCGTCATAGTCATGATCATGATCATCGTCATCGTCATAGTCATGATCATGATCATCGTCATCGTCATAGTCATGATCATCGTCATCATCGTCATAGTCATGATCATGATCATCGTCATAGTCATGATCATGATCATCGTCATCGTCCTCGTCGGTTTCTCGAAGACTGTTGAACGCAACTCTCCTCTTTAAAAGCGCGTTTGTCCCGTTTCCTTGGTGATTTGCTTTCGCTAATCAAATTCGTCAACCGCGCATTTGGAAGGCCATTTATGATATTTTAATGCAATATGTAGTGGTTGGTTATCACGGCCGTTTTCACTTGTTACAGCTGGAGACATATCCCGTGTATTCCAAAAGCATTTTATTAACTGTATTGGAATTTAAAAAAATATTTTGGAGTTTTACCCGAAGAAATCATTTGGTAAAAATTTTTTAGGCTATTTATAAAATGCTATAGCTCGAACAAGACGTTAGTAAAACACGGACATCGATTACCATTACAATGTATTGTGTACGATTCTTAATCAGGTATATAAAAATTAAAATCGCATGGATATTTTGTAAGCAGCAATGAACTCAACATAAAACTCCCTCATAAACATGTAGCAAAATTTACTAGTGAAAAGGCTTTGTAACGTGATTACATCAACACATCGTCGCCACTGAATACACGACGCATTAAGTAATTTAAAGCCAAGTTCCCCGCGGAGTGTGTGTTTAAAAGAGCCGCCTAAACAACGATAAACCCTCTTCGGCGAGGATATCCCGTGGAAGAGTCCCTCATCCGATTACATTCGGCGGATCGACTTCCCATAAAAGCAAAGCGATGTCGAGAAGAACGCGGCGGCCGAGGGCGCTCCGGTTCACGGCGCGGAAGCGGGGTTGGGGGGGGGGGCGGACC